GTTTCGAAGCTTTTGCGTGTTATTCACATCACCCCGCTCCCCATGTCCCGCGATGGGGTGTATCTAAATCAGAATATTTATCCTGGAGGAATCCGATGAGCTATGAAGCTCTTTTTAACAGATATCCAGCAGGGACGGGTCAGAAAGTTACAACACCAGACAATACAAAAGCCGATAGGAGTGCAAAGTATAGGGAGTCAGTCACAAAATACCAAGAGTACAGATCGTCTGTTGGGATTCCAGTCTTAACACGCGGATTATAGAGAACGTGATACGCTGGTTCATGACATCATTGAAATTAAGTAAGTGTGCTTGGGTCAGGACACCTGACTGGAACGGGTGATGGCCGACATTCAAGAATACCGGCGGAATGCCAGCCAAGGAGATGGAATGCCGTCCAAAGATTATTTTCAGTTTGGAGATGGAGCGATGAAATCGACTCCTTAGCTTTTCAATCATGAACATCGCATGATTGCGGGAGATTGAGGCGGCGTGGAGAGGCATTAGTCCAGCAGTAGATTGATCATGGCTGACGATAACGATAAGTCGCGTTTCCTCCAAAATGCGAGGAATTGGCGAAATATCTGAATGTTGCAGGTCCCTCCTGAAAAACGTGGATCTTGAGACTCGGTGAAGCTTCCCACGCCACTGATGTAAGGTGCAGCTTTTAAAGCGCAGCAGTGCAATCACCTGCTGACGGCACTGCTGGTGGAAGGGCTTACACCGTAAAAGCGTGCACCTAGCTTTGCACAAGCGTCGTGGGGATGTCACCGCCACTTCGTGGCGAACCACGGTTATTGTATGACTAGAGACGGAGCTCTGGGGAGTATTTTTGGCCCGCGTTTGGGGTACCCACACTTTACCCCACCACCACCACCATACGCGTTCTGCCGATCGAGTCGCCGTGGTTGTGCCCATTTATAACTGCCGGGTGGACAGACGCGGAGAGATTCAGGAAACTTGGCCCGTTCTTTAAACCTTCGCTGCGGGTAAATAAACAATCTTGTTTTATAAGGAAGAAACTGTCCAAACATCGCAATGCTGGACGCTCTTGGAAACAATATAATTGAGACTGATTCATCGATGCTTTCCTGTACGGTATTGTAAATTAACTGCATACGTTTGTTTGTTCATTTATTTGTTTATTTCACGTGGTCACCAAGTCGCAAAAGCCACGTGTCGCCGACGACGACGCAGCCTCTCCCTGGGATTGCGCAATGCAGCTTGCCTTTGGGCGAGTCATGTTTTGATTTAAAGTTTTTTTTCCCCCCAGCGCGAACCAAGCAAGCCCTTTGACCCACTGCCGTACGGTCCCTTGATGAATCCGCGGCTGAACGAAGACCTCCTCATGCCGTTTGGTCACGAAGGTTGCTTTTACCATACTTCACCACCCTGGCTTATTGCTGGTTACTGAAGGGGGGGGGGGGGTACTTCCAGGAACGGTTCAGATACGACTCGATACCGGCGTTCGTCGTGATTGGGAATTGAACTCAGGTCGCTGCATTCACGGGATGCAGTGCGTTAACCACTGCGCCACCGCTCCACCCTATGTTCACGAGGCTACAAAGTCCACCCCGAGGTTTCCCATTGTCAGGCGATGACCCGTGCTGGAATGTGATGAAGTGTTCACCCGAGTCGCCACGGTGGCGAGATGTTAACTCCCTCGCCTGGGATACAGAAAGTCGTGGGGGTTCCATCCAGAGCCTGACGCCTGCTGTATATTTAGAGATTGCATGGCCCTCTCGCTGTGGTCACGTGAACATTTCCCCGGGACCTCCGGTTTTCCCCTACACATTCAGAAACATGCGTTTAGAGTATTTGGCGGCTGTAAATTTCCAAATTACTAGCCACTTCGCCGAGCTATCATTTGTGGCCAGGTCGTTTCTGAAAGAGATGCGAATAGCTCAGTTGGCGTTACTTGGTCAAATAAAAGTTAGGCTTTAGTAACTGGACCATGCCTCCCACTGGCTCCATCATCAGCACTTCCTCCGGCACAGGGATGCAGCTTTCAAAAGGTGTTTAATGATGCAGATGATCATCATACTCACCATCATCATCACATCCTGCCTTCACGTTCCTGTGGTGCTGGTGGAATGTCACAGCATGAAAAACCCTGCAGGAATGACGAGCATTATGGCAATGACGGTAAAAAAACAGCAGGGGGCATCCGGTAAAGTTTTTACAAATAATATTGTTTATTTCATCAGACGAAGACAATACTATATATTCGTATAACGTGGTAAAAAAATAATGCTCTTCTTCAAATATATGTCTTCACTCTTACGAAAGCATATGCTCACCAAAAAATATATATTAAATAGATCACAATACCGTGTCAACTGGCCTCGGAGCTAATTGTAAACTACACGCGGACCAACAATGACTCATCTGCTACATTGCTCAACAGCTTACAGTCGGTGTCACTTATCCTAAGGGCAGTTGGCGCGCACAGGAAACTCCCGCGATCACACAGCAATTCGCCTGAATACATGGGACCAATGGTCATCGTCGGGGCAGGTGGGTGCTGGAAATGGCCAGGACATTAGGCTGTGAAATAACTGGGCAGACGTTTAATCTCTCCTCGCCATATATTCTCTCCGCACGAAATAAATATTTTGTTAAACATCCCATTGGCCATACAGCCCTGTTGGGAGTGCGTCTTTTCAGCAGCATTGTTCTAATAAAAGCAAATTAAGCCAAGTGCTGGTGAACTCATACCTGTCAACCCATACGGTCTACCTGCATTCTTGTAAAGGGAAATTGAGATCAGGTCCGTACAGCGTACAGCCGTTTAAATACGGGCAAAAAATGTAGTCCATTTGTTTCTCCCTCGTGATGGCACTTTGTAGGATGAACGTTGAAATTTATTAGGGTACGGGGTAACCAATAAGGTCTGAATTGGTCTGTAACAAGGTAGGCACTGATAAGGGGTTGACAGGTACGTGCCTAATGTTTAAAAAGCAAGGGCCCTCTGCCAGAAATGGGTCCAAGTTCGATGCAAAACTATAAAATACTTAAAGCGGAGAACACAAGTAACAAAATACTTTGCTCGATCCCTGGCTACCTACTGCCACCAAACTCGCCAACCAGACGAAAACTCCTCCACTAACCACACCAGTGAACCAAACACTTACGAATCTCTGACCAGGCCTTACATTTCTCACCAAATATTTTCCAAGTCGCTGGTAACATATTTGAGAGTTGGTGGCACGTAGCTCGTAGCCACAGCGAGGGGTTCATACTGGACATGGTGTTGCGGGTCTGGATGCATTATCTGGGTCAAAGTTTCCGGCAAAAATCAATCTCCAAATTATGTCCCCATCCCAGCCTCTAACCAAGCGCCCCCCCCCCCTTTTTTAAGAGTTTGGTTCACCCTATTGCATCCACCCCCCTCCCCCGCATCTTCCGCCAACTGATGACTTTTGGGGGCAATTGCCGTGTGCCATTTAACGCGAATGGTTCCAGCCAGTCCCGACAGTCCCCTCTTAAAGACAAACCCGTGACAAGAGGGCCTTTCTTTCCACGGGTTTCAGTAATCACAGCATGCGGCAAATAGTGTTCAACACTAAGTGCTAACCAGTAGCATAATAAAATAGTATACGTAAAATCTTTTCCTTTCAAATATAATTTATATCCTCTCTTAAGTCTAATATATTATTTTCTTTTATAAAGTTCACGTGCACATATATATTTCATATATATACTAACAAGCTGCAATAAGTCTTTGGTTTAGAGTTTTTTTTTTTTCTGGGGGGGGGGGGGAATACATATCTCTGTAAAATATCTGCAGGCATTGCGCTGCCGTTACTCAAATATTACGGGTGGTAGCTCTCCAGAATTACGCAGGTAATTGCAAGTCCGAGATAATACAGGTGCGCTCAGCACAAACGATTAACTCACGAGGCTCGAACACAAACCGACGGGCACCGTCACTAGCAGCACCTGGCAGCACACAGCGCAGCAACGACACACGTGACGAAATAAATAAAATGCAACACCATCACGAACAACACACCCTCCTTCAAGCAAGCGTCTCTCCGTCGGCGTCATCGCCAAGGGCGGCGTAGCCCAACAGAGTGTGCAGGCGGTGCAACTGCGCTGGGACCCCCACGAGCCGGAGAAGGACGGTGCAGGGGATCTGAAGAGCTACACTACGCCAACAAACAACCTCGAACGCTGGCGGAAATATCAGGAGCGTCCTCTTATCTAAGTGCCCAAAGTAAGAAAGAAATAATAGAGTTTTGGGAAATTCACATCGTCACGACGCTCCAACTTGTACAACTAAATAAAATTTTTTGTGAAAGCCGAGCAAGCAGCTCGAACGGAAAGCTGCCGTCGTCTCCACTGCTACATCTCCGTCACGTTTACGCCCTGCGCACACATTGCTACTAAAGCTCCCCCGCAGTCCGGTGAGCGAAACGCCAACAACAATTCCATCAGAACGGCGGAAACTACGATGGCGAGAACGACGATCAAGATTTTTTTTTTTACGCTTTCCAAGAGCACGCCTTGCAAAGGCCGTACGCCTCGTCGATGTTATCGTACACAAATTAAGATGGCCCACGTGGACAACAACAACCGCCGTTCGCCACTAAGTGCTGGTGACATCACCACGGCGCTTGTGCCAGGCAATGTGCACTTTAGGGCCACGTGAAGTATCGAACGCCCTGCTGGCAACTCACGGGGCAGATACACGTGGTCAAACAAGGACAACAATGCCCCGTATAGCCTTAATACACTGTTGGGGCAAGTGCTGTTCGCGAGCACCTATGAAGGCCGGCACGATACACGAGGGGGTGGGTGACCAACACCACGCCCGACCGCCTTTGTCACCCCAGTGGCGATGTTTACACACCGCACCAGGTACTCATTTGAGGCCGAGTCGACCTTGGGGAGGAGGCCCAGGACTAGTTCAGATAATCGTCACTGGTGTCGATTATCCGCGAGTGGGAATCGAACTCGGGTCGCCGGGTACGTAGCGCAGCGCGCCAACCGCTACACTACCGCTCCCCACAACGTGGACAGCAAGCACACACACACACAAACAAACACAGACGTGCACGCACACGCGTCGCTCTTCTTCTCAGAGGGACAGCAGCGTGGGAGACAGCAGCACGTCCAGGTCGGTGCTGCTGCTGCTGCTGCTCAGCCGCTGGGCCCAGCCGCAGCTGGTGGAGGCGGTCGAGCACGACGTGCCGGTGGTGGTGGCGGCGGAGGCGGTGGAGGCGGCCGTGGTGGCGGCCGTCTGCATCTCGGGCCCGGCCACGCTGGGGTAGGTGAACATGAGCGAGGGGGTGCCCCCGCCCGGCGTGGTGGTCACCACCGGCGTGTTGAGGCACTCGAGCAGGTCGGGGAAGGCTGCGAACTCGCTGGCCGTCGCGTCCATGTATGACGTGGGCAGTCGCAGTTGCGGCTGCCGCTGGCGTTGCGTGGTGGCCGCACCACCAGCCCGCGTCGCGAGCGCCCCATCGAAGGAGTAGGGGATGGGCAGTGGCGGCAGCCGCAGCGACGATGACGATGTCGATGACGCCATCGATGGGACTTGGGGGACGGTGGCCAAAGGTGCCACTGCCATCGCCGCCGCCGCCGCCGCCGCCGCAGAAGATGCCGATGACGAGGACAATGACAAGGAGGAGGATGAGGAGGCGGTCGCGGCCAGGTAGGAGGGGGATGATGACGGAACGTTCTGGTCGTCCCGTGACGGCACGAGCATGCACGAGTGCTCGTGTGTCGCGAGGACGAGCTCCAGCTGGTCCTTCACCCTGCGCAAGTTGTCCACCTCCGACTTGATCAGCTCCTGCTGCTGAAGGAGTTCGGCCGTCTCCTGTGGGGACGACGGAGGTGGGGGGGGCGAGTCCGGGTTAGGGTTTTGCAATATCTTTCCTGCACCAGCACTTACATTAATTCGAGTATTCGGCCACTGTGCATTTTCATTATGATGAGCCAATTCGTTGAGCTATCATATGTGGCCAGGTGGCTTCTCAAGAATTGATAGAGCAATGGGCTTCACATGGCAAGATAAAAAAAACGAGTTTCGTTTTATTTGTGCATACATTTTTTCGGTGATTTGTTTACCGTACCTATGCTTGGCACCCCTATGGTGTTTTTTGTAATATTTGTTGTCATAACGTTCTGACCCGCCCCAACTGGAGATCTGTTCAAAAGAGCTTTATACCTCATCGGATTCTTCCAGTATAAATATTCTGATTCTGTAACGTGTGACGCAAATAAAGACTACTCTTTCATAAACTCCTCGCTCCGCACACTGCTCTACGATACTAACGTCGGATTCGATTGGGACACGAATCTGACCTGTGCCTCACCTAGGTTGACTCGGCCTTAAATGAGCACGAGGGAGACAGAGAGAGGCCCCAGGCCTTCAACAACAAAGGCCGCAGCCGCAGCCTACGTTACGAGCAGCAGAGAATTCCTCCTCACCTCCTCCAGCTGGTCTGTGAGTTCCCGTCGCCGGTTCCGACACTTGGCAGCGGCCTGCCTGTTGCGTTCCCGACGGAGAATCCTCCTCTCCTCCTCCTCCGGGTTGAGCTGCATGAGAAGGGAGAGAGAGAGATGGACAACGCGGCGGGGGTTAGCGAACGATTTAAGCTGGGGCCACGTTGACCGAGGGTGATTTCAACGAGCCGGATCGCAGCCTCGACGTCCCGCTCGGCGGTTGGCGGTCGGCAAATGCCGAATGGTTGAGCGGCTTAACAAGTTTTGGCCGGAGAAGTGGCCGAATCAGAGCTCGGCCACAACTGGCTGATTTGCAACAACAATAGCCACGGATAAATTGTATCTATTTGTCAAGACAGTGACATAAATGTGTTTGGCTTGACACAGGTGCTGTGATGACTGTCAGACCGTGGACACTTCCATCAATGTATTTATTTACTGCCAAGACAAAAATATAAAGAGCGACCGAAAAAGCCTTTGGTCCGAAACCCAGCCGTTGATGGCTGAACCAGTTCGTCCTATGTCAGGTCCCAGACCTGTTTCCCCATCGGCCCTTCTTAGTCCACAATAGGTGGACAATTAAATCCACAGCGATCAGCATCGCTATTGTAACACGCTGCACCACACTCTGACGTGTTTTATGACGTGTTTTCCGACTGTGCCGCGTATCGTCCAACATTCCGTTCCACGTATCTGCCAGAATTCAAACCCTGGAGAATCTCGCCAGCATGTGGAGAGCGAAATGTCAGACAAAACGTCCGACATTGCCAGAAATCCCGGACATGCGTGACGGAGAGCCGTACGGCACAGCGGCGAAAACCGACGCGGTGGTGGAAACGTGCCGGCACGCGACGGTATTCTGTGGTTGATGTGCAACCGCAGTATTAACCAGGGCTGGATTCGAACCGCGAACCTCTGCAACAAGCGGGCGGACACGCTACCGATGGGCCACGTCGCCGTACAATGCACGTAAGCAACGTTGAACTTCTTTCGTACTGTACGTAGCCGGCCGTGCTAATCGGAGGCGTGGGTACGAATGCGTGTGTAAGTGGCACCATATACACACGACAGTTCCTGTCGATCGCAGGGCTGCCAGCGATGTCTCCGCTTGCTGCGCAACTAACCGGTTACACAGCGGCGGCGCTTCTATATTCACGACCACTCACGACCGCCGCGTCGTATACGGCACGGTGTTTGTTTGTGATGTCAAACAATAAGTCGGGGTAAGCAGGCGATCCAGTTTGATCTGCGGATCTAATAAACGGGGGCTCGGTCACGGCTGGCTGGGTTACGTTTTGTACACAAGCGTGCGTCGCATGCCCAGGATGCGGTTACAGCGATAAAAGGTGCCCCTCCTCTGTACTTTAATGCCCATGTCGCATTTCGTGTGCGGTGTTGAATATCTGAACCGGTGTTGGTCCACCCCCTAGGTCGACTCAGCCTAAAATGAGCAGTGTCTAAATATGAGCACTGGGGAGACAAAGGCGTGGTGATAAGCAAACCACCCTCGCCTCTGTGTACCGTGCTGGAGTTCATAGGTCTTATTCACTAACAGCACTTGCCCCAGCAGTTTGTTTAGCGGTTCGCGCACCCCACTACGAAGACTCCCTGGCCGCGGCTAACGCCAAGAGTCAAAGAGAGCGTGCCGGACATCGCGATTCCAATTAAAAACGCCTTTCGTGAATTTAGCGGCCTCCAGAGGCTGCACCGCCGGGGTTACGACACACACCAATTGAAGAAACCGGTATAAAGGAATCGTACAATCGACGCGAAATCGATCAGTCGAGGCATTGCACTGAACAGTTCAGGAAACTCTGCAAGACTCATTTTTTCCTTTTAGCTTTTCCTTGAATACGTCCTCTCACTTTGCTATTTTTGTATGCGTCTTTATTTCATAGGTAGGACTACCGTCGTTGTATTTACAGCGTAAAGTATTGCAACGTCCTCTTTGGTGGGGGCGAGTTTTTACAACAACAACAAAAAACCCACATTGAATTAAAGAAATGAACGACCGACCCGGTCGTGAACATTTCAAGTTGTACGCGTGCAGCACGTGCGTCAGTCGCTCTTACCATCTCATCCCTGGATGGTCGCCCCCCACGCCTCCCGGCCCGGCTGTAAGGGGGTGCACCCCTTCGACCCCCGCTACTAGGCGCCCAGCCGGAAGCGCCAGCGTCACCACTGCCGCCGCCACTGCTGCTACTGAAACCCTAAGAGAAAAGCAGACAGAAAGAGAGGAGGAGGGGGGGTAACCGTTATTGCAGGGATATTCTCTCTCTTGTACGGGAGGGCGAGTTAACACATGGACAAATACCCATCGTTACATAGACACCCGTCGTTACACAGAGATCCATCGACACGCATAGAGACCCAATGACACACACACACACATACCCATCGACGTGCAGACGTCCATAAACTCACGTATACGCTCATCGACGTACACACGGACCCATCGAAGTACAATAGAGACAGATCGACACACAGATAGACCCATGGACGCGCACACACCCATAAAATCACATAGATGCTCATTGATTTACATCTAGACCCATCGACACACAGAGACCCACAGACGTGCAGAGAGGCTCCCATCAATAAACTCACGTAGACACTCAAAACGTAAATGACAGGACCGGTAACATTGGTCGTCGCACTGTGGGCGAATCCTTAAATTGTCGATGAGCGAGTGAGTTTCTTCTATAGAGTGGGGAGCGGTGGTGTAGCGGTTAGCGCACTGCGCTATGAACCTGGCGACCCGGGTTCGATTCCCGCTCACGGCCAACGCCAGTGACGATTATCTGAACCGGTCCTGGGCCTCCCCTAGGTCAACTCAGCCTGAAATGAGTACCTAGTGCGGTGTGTAAACATTCGCCACTGGGGAGACAAAGGCGGTCGGGCGTGGTGCAGGCCACCCACCCCCTCGTGTACCGTTCCGGCCTTCATAGGGTGCTCGATAACAGCACTTGCCCCTACAGTCTGTTAAGGCTATACAGGGATTCTTTGTCTGCCGATCAAATTGTCACTGCGCTCGGGCAGGCTAAGACGTGATTACTCTTGGCGGCGGCGGCGGTGGTGGCTGCCAGTACCGTTGTGAAACGGTGAGCGCGGTGTGTTTAAATACCGGCGAGAGCTCGTCTGCCGTGGGAGAACGATTCAACTTGGGTGCCGTAGGGGTTTTCTCACGAGTGAAATAGCGCAACAGTACAGAGGCGGCCGCGTCTTCGAGCATGTTCCAACTATGCGCGAAGCTTGAGCGGCACCGGGCCAGCAGAGAGAGAGAGATACCGTGTGTAAACAAAGCTACGAAGAAAACACATCATCATCATCACTCCGCGACGTGTCCGCAGGCCGCTAAAGCGACACCGCTTGTGTGTGTGTTTTTTTAGTTTTAAAGTGACAACCGACATAAGGAGGAAAAGCCTCTCTCGTCAAGTAGTTGGGGAGTTATTGAAACGTTTACTGGTAGTCGACTCTGCCAAGCGATCATCCCACCCATCTCACGTTATATAACGTGCGCGTGTGTGCTTTGCCACGAGTTAGACGACACCTTAGGTTACAAACAAAGTTTTTTGAAGCTGCGATTAAGAGAGCCCTCCGGCAACTGCTGACGTGACGAGTGTATTTAAGAGCGTTGCGAGTGACACAATGAGTCATGCCAATGCGGCCCCTTCTCCTAGCGCTGAATAAGGTCCCATCGCCCGAAACGTTAGCCTACGATGCACATCTATTTTCAAGGTAGCGAGTTCTACGTTGATGGGGTTTTTTAACGATTTCAGTCAGTCACGGTAAGCGTTACACATCCACTCCCATTCAGCACCACTAATATCATCATCATCATCAGCCATGGTCAATCCACTGCTGGATGAAGGCCACCTCAATCCGCTGCGTTGCTACGACTATTTCTCCCATCACAAACTGAACACCGTTTTGTTGCGATACTGCTTTGGCAGTGGCACCTAAAAACCACCACCACCAACAACAAAAAACCCCAAACACTATTCAATAACACTGCCCGACATATTAAAACAGTATAGAACGGGCGACGTTTCGGGTAACGACCCTCCCTCTTTGTAGCATACAGACAAGACGTGCTTGTCGTAACAAGGTTGAAAACAGAAACACCGACAACCTGCGGACAGGAGAATAAGAAAGAAGACAACTTGAACGAGATCTCAAAGACGTCTTACCCGGCTCGTGATGACAACATTGGGACCACCCATTCCGACGGCCGAAGGGTATCGATCCGTGCCCTGCTGCCTCGAGTCTCTGCTGCTTGAAGTGGGTCCAGAAACTTCGCTCGGCTCCTGGTACATTCCCCGGCGCAACTCGAAACAAAGTTTGCCGTCTCACGCTTGCCCGGAAAAAGGTGCCGTGCGTGTTGCTGGCTTGGTACTTCTGCTGCTGCTATTAACCCCCCACTGCCTGTTGATGCCTTCTGGCTCGGGGGGGGGGGTTCTTATCAATTGCCGCGGGGGACAGTGTGGTTGGGACACTTGCGAGTAAGACGTGTCCCTCTAAGCCTTACGAATGAGCTCTCCCCGCCCCCAACCCCCTCCGTCTGTTAACAACAGCGCACGCTCACGACAAAAAACGAAGCCCAGAGAGCTTCTCTCCAGCACCGAGTGAATTGGAAGCGACCGCGCGTCTCTTATATAGGAGGCTCTGGGTGGTGTGGAGGGGGGGGCGGCGCTGGGCGGGGGCGGCGCTGGGCGGGGTCAAAGAGGGTTGGCGTGCGATGACGTGAGACGACTCCGGGCTGTACCAACAGCAGCGGGGGTGTTGAAGCGAAAGTGAGAAAATGCGAAGCTCGCGCCGACCCTGTCCACTCGCTTTCGTGTTTCGAACTTTAACGTAAGTATGCCGCGATTGGCGTTACCCCCCCCCCCCCCCCCCCCACGGTGCAGGGAGCACAAATCGGACGCGTCGTTTGGAGACTCGCGCCTTCACACACACACCCTCCACCCCCCCTGTTTCGAAAGCAATAATGGCACAGCCATGTTGTGTGTGTGTGAGAGAGGGAAGTTCCTCTGACGTACATGCCCATATAAGGAGTCGTTGTCGTTTGGTGGTGGTGGTGGGGGGGAGGGCTTTTCCGTATCCACAGCAAGTGGCGGTGACGTACAGGCGGCGGGTCGTTCCTTCCGGCGGATTGTTGAGCGGCCGCTCGTCGAAGAGGAAAATTTTAACTTCGCCACTCCGCGGTACCCCCCCCCCACCCTTCCCCACCCCCCCCCCACCCCCCGTGTCTCACAGCCCCTGTGTTGAACCTCCATCACCATCATCATTATCGTCGTCTGCCTGTCCGGTTGTCGCGTGGTAAATCGGCGACACGTGTTAAACGAACACGCGGTGTCGTTTCGGTTTCAAGGCAAGAGGCGCGCACAGCCCAAAGTTACAACGCGGTGGTGGGGGGGTGTGGAGGGGACGCTTTTTAGCCTAGAGACGCGAAGTAGCACTTGGGGAAGGATGATGTATCATCGTGGCTAGAAGTAGGGGGCTGGGCGCGGAATGGCACAGCTCGGAGAAGGGGGGCGACGGGGGGTGGTGGGACAAACGCAACGACATCGGCGTTCATGCGCCAGGGAGTTTGGTGAAGTTGTCTCTCGCCGTGACGCCGTGCGGAGGCCTTCGTTCTAACAGTGGATAGACCATGGCTGGTAGTGATTATTGTGATTAGGGGCCGTCCATAAATGACGTCACCCACATAAGGGGGCGTCAGACATTTGTGACGATGTGTGACGAGGGGAGAAATGTGACGTCACATCAAAATGCGCAAGTGATTTGAAGCATATTCTTGGTTCTTTCGGTAAAGTCACGTTGAAGGGAAACAATAAAATAATAAAATATGTATAAAACAATAAAATTCTCACGACGTTTCGACTGTAACAGTCATCATCATATGAAAAACCACACCTGATGATGACTGTGTTACAGTCTAAACGTCGTGATAATTTTATTGTTTTATATATTTTATTGTTTCCCTTCAACGTGACTTTACCGAAAGAACCAAGAATATGAATCACTGCAGTCACGAAAGCTTTAAATCTAAATTTGATTTGAAGCATGTTTTATTTTGGGGGGGGGAGGGGGGCAGAGCTTTGTGACGTCATATTTGAAGGGGGGGTCTGACTTTTTGTGACGTCGTGTGACGAAGGGGGGGGGGAGGTCAAAAATCGTTCAAACTCGCGTGACGTCATTTGTGGACGGCCCCTTACGTCATGTGGAGGCATCCATCCAGCATTGAATAGACACTGGCTGCGGCTGCTGATGATAGGGAAGGCGTGGTTGGGAGTCCTTCATCCAGCAGTGAATAGATCATGGCTGACCGTGATAGCAATGGGGGAGGCTCTTTGAGAATCCAGCATTGAATAGACCGTGGACCGTCATCCCTGCTGCTTGCTACTCGTGATTATTTCGTGGGGTGGTCCTCCAGCAGTGGACATAGACCACTGCTGCTGCTGATGACGACAACGAGCGCTGTGTACAACTGAAGCAGAATGCTCCTCTGATGAATTATTCAGGACCCCCACCACGTGAACTCGCCCCGAAGTGTGTGACGTGGATCTGGCGCAGAGATCAAAAGACCAAGGGGGTGAGTTTGGTGAGCGAGTGGTCCCGCTGCCCTACGAACCTCGCGCCTCCCGGTTCGATTCCCGCTCACGGCCACCACCAGTGACGCTTATCTGAACCGGTCCTGGGCCTCTCCTATGTCGACTCAGCCTCAAATGAGTACCCGGTTGCGGTGTGTTTGAACATCGCCACTGGGGAGACAAAGGCGGCCCGGCGTGGTGCTGCTCACCCACCCCCTCGTGTGCCGTGCCGGCCTTCATAGGTGCTCGCTAACAGCACTTGCCCCAACAGTGTGTTAAGGCTATACGGGGGATCTTTGTCTTGCATTCACACCACGGGCCGAAGGGCACAAGAACCACCACAATAAGTTACGCCTACATTCCTCACTCGGTGTTTTCCCAAACGCTGTTCGGCTCGATTTGAGTAGGGATTATCGGCATTAGGCACTACTACTACTACTGCTGCTATTATTATTGTACCCAATGAAACTGAGGCCCGTGGAATACTACGGGAAGGGGGAGTTGAGTTAAGGATGTTACTGATGTATGGGCAAAACTAAAAAGTAGCGGGGGAAATTTTTTATTAGAAACGCGAGGGAACGCGTGGACAAATAATTTAACAACTGGAGCAGAGGGTTGGGAAAGACGAGGATGAAGAAGGATCGCCGGGCAGGAATGGGAGGAGGGGGAGAATGGTGACCGGGCCACGATTTTTGGGGATGAGAGGGGAGAGACGAGGAAGGAGGAACCGAGGGTGAGCTGCCCGGTGCGGCGTCTGTCTCAGCAGGGTTCGCAGTGGGGGTGGCCGCACAGAAGTCACGTGATTTACTGGAGGAATTAGCTGATTTTGGATGCTGCGGTGGCGAGATGTTAATTACCTTGCCTGGTATACAGGAGGTCGTGGGTTCGATCCCGACTCCTGCTGTATATTTGTAGTTTGCATGTCTCTGTCCCCGTAGTCGCGTGTATTTTTCTATGGGTCCTCTGGTTTTCCTCTACACATTTATAAACATGCGTTTAGAGTACTGTTTTTGGCTATCATTTGTGGCCAGGTCGCGTCTGAAAAAGAGCTATATAGCTCAGTGGGCCTTACCTGGTAAAATAAAAAAAAAGTTTAATTTATAGCTTAGTTTATTTATATATATATTTATATAAGGATTAAATTACGCGAGATGAATGTGGCGCGCGAAATTAATTCCCGGTAACAGCGTTCCGGACTCTTCCAGCTGACATTAAACACTGACCACAAGAGATCGCTTATACCCAAAGCCAGTCAGTTACGTGTAAACGACTAAAACGCGAAGGCAGTGCGACAACATGATCGACATCATAATCACCAGCCGAGAATCTCTCCACTTCAGGACGAGGCTTCCCCCAATCCACCGCCATCTCTCAGGGTTCGCCACATGCAACGTTTCCAATCTAGCGCCTTCACACGAGCTGATTACATCGCTGCCACCTCCACGGTGTTCGTCATCTCGAGACGCATTTCCCCCCCCCCCGGACTTTGGCTGCCACTCCGTCGTTTGGCTCGACCAGCGGCGCGCCATCCCTTCTAGCCATGACGTGGCCTACCTGAGTCCGCTAAGTTTTCTTTGCAGCAATGTTTGTTATTTTTCCAATTGATACAGCTTTGGCCGCGGTGCGTAAGCAACAAACTCAACATGTTCGTAAATACCACGAGAGTGTGTATGGTGCTGGTCACCCCCCCACCACCCCCTCGTGTGCCGTGCCAGCCTTCATACAGTGAGGGAAAAAAGTATTTGATCCCCTGCTGATTTTGTACGTTTGCCCACTGACAAAGAAATGATCAGTCTATAATTTTAATGGTAGGTTTATTTGAACAGTGAGAGACAGAATAACAACACCAAAATCCAGATAAACGCATGTCAAAAATTGTATAAATTGATTTGGATTTTAATGAGGGAAATAAGTATTTGACCCCTCTGCAAAACATGACTTAGTACTTGGTGGCAAAATGTGGTGCCGCCACAGCGGAGCCGCTCCGTCGGGGCCGTGCCCACCGCCGTGACGCCGCCACCGGGGAGCAACAACGCCGACGCTGCGCGCCCCTCGCCGCCCCCCACATAGGGCCCAAGGGGAAGTCACCTGGCCGACAGGTTTTCGTCCAGAAGCCCCTGATGGGAAAATCTTCATGGTTTCCTGCGGCCGGGAAATTGGGCGACCTACCCCCGAGGCTGACGTGCACCGCGGCGCCGTGACCTGGGATTGTAATTGCATGGTCACGGCAGAGGCTGTTGAGCCACCGTGGATGGAACCACACACACACAACACGGGTCAGTAGGCTGGTAGCGGGAAGAGCGGAAAGCGGACGTCGAGGGGACCACTGCGGTGACGTCACCAGAGCTGGGATCTGACTATCAAAAGGTCGGGAAAATCCGGGCCCCTGATTGTACGGGAGGCCAAGGGGGCGAAACAGTGGAATTCAGGCAGTAAAGGGCAGAGTCCTTCAAGGCATCGAGATCAGCGGGGTGTTGGAGCCAGCCGTTCGAGTCGTCCGTGTGACGAGGTTCAACGCAGCCAGGCCCAATTCTCCACGGAGACGACGCACAGCATCGCCCTTCCACAGCTTCCGGCGCATCAGATTGGGAGTAAGCGTAAGTAAGGGAGAGGTGAGTTTGGGCTAATTAATCAGAGGGTAGAAAGTGGAGCAACAGGCAGGATACATTGAGTCCAGGATCCCCGAGGGATAGGCTAGTGTCTGCTGACCCACACAAACACGCGTAGTTTAGCGGGTTATTCGCGGGGAATAAAATCGCCAGTAGAGGATAAACTGTGTCGTGTGGTCTTTGTGAGTGTGAAGAGGAGGGTGGAGGGCCTTGTGTTCGCGTGCATGCGCGGCTGTTCACAGCGAAGAGGAGGGTGTAGCGTCTGGTGTTCGCGTACACGCGTGGCTGTTTAAACGGGCTTTAAATCGGGGCGGAGTGACTCCCCCCAATCAGCGGCGCACGCACGGTGGAAGCCCCCTGACTTCTGACTCCCGACCTCGAGTCCCGTGCGTGGGCGCTCGGTGCGGCCGCGGAGTCACGCGTCGGCGCGCTGTACCCTTTTGTTTATGCACGAGACGGGGTTTTACTTTGCGGGCGCGCTCACCGCAGCACGTCCGCCATTGAGCCCACGTAGCGCGTCGTAAGCGTAAAGCGGTCAATCCCACCAATTGAATCATGAATACGCGGGGGGCAGCAACAAAGTTGGGGGTACAGGGGAGCGAGGAATTGGGGGGCGGTAGCCCGAACCCTACAGAGCAGTCGGGGAGCAGTAGCTCGATCATAACGGAGGAGTCGGGGGACAACGGCCCCGACAAAAACCCTTGTTGGCAATCACAGAGGTCAGACGTTTCTTGTAGTTGGCCACCAGGTTTGCACACATCTCAGGAGGGATTTTGTCCAACTCCTCTTTGCAGATCTTCTCCAAGTCATTAAGGTTTCGAGGCTGACGTTTGGCAACTCAAACCTTCAGCTCCCTCCACAGATGTTCTATGGGATTAAGGTCTGGAGACTGGCTAGCCCACTCCAGGACCTTAATGTGCTTCTTCTTGAGCCACTCCTTTGTTGCCTTGGCTGTGTGTTTTGGGTCATTGTCATGCTGGAAAACCCATCCACGACCCATTTTCAATGCCCTGGCTGAGGGAAGGAGGTTCTCACCCAATATTTGACGGTACATGGCCCCGTCCATCGTCTCTTTGATGCGGTGAAGTTGTCCTGTCCCCTTAGTAGAAAAACACCCCCAAAGCATGATGTTTCTACCTCCATGTTTGATGGTGGGGATGGTGTTCTTGGGGTCATAGGCAGCATTCCTCCTCCAAACACGGCGAGTTGAGTTGATGCCAAAGAGCTCCATTTTGGTCTCATCTGACCACAACACTTTCACCCAGTTGTCCTCTGAATCATTCAGATGTTCATTGGCAAACTTCAGACAGGCATGTATATGTGCTTTCTTGAGCAGGGGTACCTTGCGGGCGCTGCAGGATTTCAGTCCTTCACGGCGTAGTGTGTTACCAATTATTTTCTTGGTGACTATGGTCCCAGCTGCCTTGAGATCATTGACAAGATCCTCCCGTGTAGTTCTGGGCTGATTCCTCACCGTTCTCGTGATCATTGCAACTCCACGAGGTGAGATCTTGCATGGAGCCCCAGGCCGAGGGAGATTGACAGTTCTTTTGTGTTTCTCGCCATTTGCGAATAATCGCACCAACTGTTGTCACCTTCTCACAAAGCTGCTTGGCAATGGTCTTGTAGCCCATTCCAGCCTTGTGTAGGTCTACAATCTTGTCCCTGACATCCTCGGAGAGCTCTTTGGTCTTGGCCATGGTGGAGAGTTTGGAATCTGATTGATTGATTACTTCTGTGGACAGGTGCCTTTTATACAGGTAACAAGCTGAGATTAGGAGCACTCCCTTTAAGAGTGTGCTCCTAATCTCAGCTCGTTACCTGTATAAAAGACACCTAGGAGCCAGAAATCTTTCTGATTGAGAGGGGGTCAAATACTTATTTCCCTCATTAAAATGCAAATCAATTTATAACATTTTTGACATGCGTTTTTCTGGATTTTTTGTTGGTATTCTGTCTCTCAATGTTCAAATAAACCTACCATTAAAATTATAGACTTATCACTTCTTTGTCAGTGGGCAAACGTACAAAATCAGCAGGGGATCAAATACTTTTTTTCCCTCACTGTAGGTGCTACTCCCTAACAGCACTTGCCCCAACTGTCTGTGAAGGCTATGTATGTACTGTATGTGTGTCGAACTTCTTTCGCGCCGTACGTAGCCAACCGTGTTAATCGGAGGTGCTATACGGGGGGAATCTTTGTCTTATTTTGGATATATTTAAAACAGGCAACATTTCAGACAATGATCCTTCTTGCACAGTCCTTCCTTATTGAATGAAGAAGTGACATTTTCAGAAACGTTTCCTGCCATCTTCTGGGTTCTTTCGGTAGTCACGTTGAATGGAGATAAAATAATCAAAATAATAACAATAAAATTCTCACGACGTTTTGGCCACAACACAAGTAGCCTTCCTCAGGTGAAGAAACAGGACTGTCCGGAAGACAGCGCGTAAGTGAACCCTGCCAAGCTTGGCAGCGTCTTTTAAGCTGTGTGGGAGGAACAGAGCGCCTTGACAAAGGAGTTTACATATAAATTAGCATGTAATTGGGGGATTAGCATGATGTTGGTGTGAGGGATAAGCACCACAGAGAGCGACAAGCTTTGTTCAGACGGACGAGTCCATCTATGTTCGGAACGGAGGAGGGGGGAGAGGAGTTTACATATCAACAGTAAATTAGCATGTAACTGGGGGATTAGCATGATGTTAGTATGAGGGATTAACACCACGGAGAGCGACGAGCTTTGTTCAGACGGACGAGTCCATCTATGTTCGGAACGGAGGAGGGGGGGAAGAGGAGGAAACAGCCACGGTGCGCTGCTCTGTCCTGTGTTGTGTTATAACTATGCTATAAACTAGACTACTATACATTACAATATTATACCTTCCAATCTAAACTACATTGTATAATATCGTATCCATAGACAAACCCCACCCTTGAATTATACAATGCGTTACTATACACTACCCTATACTTTAGACTATAAAATATTAGACTTGCAGTATTACACTATGTATTATTCTACTAACCCTACTGTATACCACACTGCTGTATATTGACTATACAATTACGGTACTATATATTGCCTTATGAATTATGTTAAACATTACACTGTTATACTATTTATTATTATACAAAATGCTATAAACTATACTATTGACCGTCGTGTGAAAGGTACTAAGAGGCAGTGCCAGCGAATGGACTGCGGTGTGAAAGTCACCGTAAAATACAATCAATCAAGAACCGAAATGGTTTATAACGTCTTTCCAATGGTTACTAAGCCGGAATCCATCTTCTCGGTTGAAATTGTCTCTGTGTTTGTATATGTGGATAGCCTCATGAACGAATCTCTCATGGTAGCCGGATGGCTTGCAGAGAACCTCCGTCTTGGAGAAGTCAATGTCATGTGAGCCCACTGAATTATAACAGTGATCTGCCACGGCAGAGGTGTTCATCGTACCATGTTTCAAGTCTGCTTTATGTTCACGGATGCGGTCCGAGATATGTCGTTTGGTTTCTCCAATGTAGCTGCTACCACAGAGGCAACTTAGTTTGTAGACGCCCGGGTACTGTATGTCTGGAACCACATCTTTTACAGGCGGAACCAGATCATGGATTTTATGTACTGTGTTGAATCGGACCTGGATCTTGTGTTTATTCAGGATTTTGGAGATCTTTTTTGTGACCCCTGCAATGTAGGGTAAGGTGATGGTTTTGAATGGCTCCTCAAGAGGATCTTTCTTCATGGTTGGAGTGATGGCTTTGCGGATTGTGTAGTCGGAGTACCCATTAGCCTTGAGACCTTGGTGTACGTGCTTGACTTCACTAGCAATGTGTTCCTGGTCGGAAATGCATTGGGATCTATGGTATAGAGTCTTGATGAGGGAATTCTTCTGGGATGGATGGTGGTGGGAATCCGGTTTTAAGTAAGCATCCGTATGGGTAGCTTTCCTGTAGACAGAGTGGCTCATTGAACCATCAGGTCTCCTTTTAATTAGGACATCCAAAAAGGGTAGCTTGCCATCTTTTTCGACTTCCATGGTAAATCTGATGGCTGGGTGCATGGAATTGATGTGGTCGAGGAATTGGTCTAGAGCAGGCCGGCCATGTGGCCAGATGACAAAAGTGTCATCCACGTACCTCTTCCATAAGGTCGGGCGTAGAGTGGCAGTCTGGATGGCGTCAGTCTCAAATTTTTCCATGAAAACGTTGGCTACAACCGGCAATAGGGGGGAGCCCATTGGGGTGCCCTCAGTTAGTAGAAAGTTCCATTCCAGGTGAAGTATGTGTTGGTTAAACAGTGTCTCACCAGGGGGTACATCAGTATGCAGTTCTTGATGAACCAAGTCTTCAATTATTGCGATGGTGTCAGGTACAGGAACTTTGGTGAATAGGGAAACCACATCAAAACTGACAGGCAGGTCGTCTGGGGACAGGGAAATACCTTTGATTGTCGAAACCAGGTGAGTAGAGTTTAGTACCGCAGAGGTGGTTTTTCCAGTAAAAGGCCACAGGATTTCAGACAGAAAACGAGCCAGTTTGTAGGTGGGGGAGTTGATAGTAGAGACGATGGGACGAGGGGGTGTATCTTCTTTGCGTATCTTTGGAAGGCCATATAATCTTGGTGGCCTGGCCGCAGAATGTTTCAAGGAGAACTGTTTGGTTTGATCAATTAATGCTGTTGAATCAGAAATATTTTTTTTGGTTTTAGTAACGAGGCTGTTGGTGGGGTCTCTTCTTATTTTTGTGTAGCTGCCATCGTTGAGTAGTTCCTGAATTTTGTTGTTATATTCTATTTTGTCCATGATGACAGTGGCATTGCCCTTGTCAGCTGAGAGAATGACAATGTCATCCCTCTTTTTTAATTGAGATCATTCAAAGCGCTCATCTTGGCTGATGTTGCTAGCTGGCATCTTAGCGTTTTTGAGGGTTGCAACGATTTCAGATCTTGCTACGTCTGCAGCGATGTGACCCAGGCCCTTGAGTGCCACGTCGACATGGGCAATGATATCATTAACTGGTATTTGTCTAGGTGTGACTGCAAAGTTTAGTCCTTTAGCTAAAACGGTTTTCAGACCATCAGAAATAGAGCTGTTACTGCGATTAATAATAACTTTGTTAACGTCTCGCTTTTCGGTGTGTGGGTCAGATTTCTTGTTGGAGAGGCGGTTGAATTTGGAAATCAAGTTGTCCTTACATTTGGTCGACATAGTGGCAGCTGAAGAGGCAGTCATATTGCCTACATGTTCCCAATCCGATGTGGGCATTGTTGCCGTCAATGATAAAGTGTCTCCTGCCAGCTATATATGTATGTATGTTTTTGTCCTTGCCTTTTTAGGGCAGTGTTCTTGACGAACGCTTTGACTTCACTTTCGGAACGGTGCGTGCGTGATGCCACTAACATTGCGCACGTTATCTGGCCGTGTTCCTCTTTCTGTCCGCGTGACTCGCATAAGCTCACTGGCCGCTTTGTGCGTCGTGTGCGTACTTCCAGCTGTTCTGTTTCCCGTTTCTTTACCAGTGTTCGGGTTTCGTTACCAGTCAACTCGGGCAAACGATGACGAGCGCAAGCCAGAACTTGGTACCAATGTAAGTCGCGTTTACAATGTTTCTGGTGATGGTGACGAGCACACAAAATAGCGTAAATGAACCCGGAAAACCGATGCTGCGGTCACAGATCGTCAATTGAAATTCTGACGCAGCTCATCGCCCGTGCCAGATTCGATAAACATGGGTGCCCCATACTCTTTGGTTTTTTCGGTAAAGTCACGTAGGTAAAGTAAAAATAAAATAAATGAAAACAACTAAATTAAATCACGAAGTTTCGGAGGCAACACAAACTTCCGTCTTCAGGTGGAAACCGTCACAGCAAAATTGCTGTATCAAAATTTTACTGTGACGGTTTCCACCTGAAGACGGAAGCTTGTGTTGCCTCCGAAACGTCGTGATTGAATTTAGTTGTTTTCATTTATTTTATTTTATTTAAATTTTACCTACGTGACTTTACCGAAAAAACCAAAGAGTATGAATCCTTGCAGTCACCAAAGCTTCAAATCTAGAATGGGTGCCCCACTTTGTTGGAAGTCAACATTAAAAGGGGGTTTTGTTCCGTGGAGAGACGTGATCCTCTCGTGTTAATGTCCCTGCCATATCACCGGTGGTGATTCTATAGAGGTTGTGTGGGTACCCGTGTCACCGGCTCCCCACCCCCTAATGATTAGCAGTGCCTCCTCCTCTCCGCAACCCCCTTTGCGTGCCGCTTTTTAGAAGGAGCTTGTGGTGGCCGAGGATTGCACTCAAGTTCAAGAGTTTATAACGGTCAGTGCCGTGTACAAAACCGCACCATCACTTCCTTCCTTATGCCAGATGCCGCAGCAATAGTGCAGTCTAAAATCACTCCCCCCCCCCCATACTTATCTTGTGTTTGACTATACTTCACCACGCTGGTCAACGGGTGTTGATGAAGTTGTTGGACCCAGCACCGCTTTAGATGTCGCTCGGCACTGATATTAACCGCCGCGCGGGTCGGGCATCGAACTCAGGTGGCCGGGTTCTTTTGTGAAATGCGCTCACCATTGCTCGTGTAATGATGAAGATGGCCCGGATGATGGTTGGCGGTCGAGACTAAGAACGGAGTGGTAGCCAGAGGAGGGAACGCGCCCGAGCTGACGGCCGCAGCGGAGATGGAGCGATGAAATGAACCCCTGTGCACGGATGATTACGTGGCAGAACCGTGGGACATTGGCAATAACCGTGTTGGCAGCCCGCTATCCAGCAGTGGAGTGCCCACTGATGATTATGATGCAGAACTTCATGAACCAGTTTTGGGATAACTTCATTTTTACCGAACTCGCACTTGACCACCATGGTGAAGTATGATCTAGCAACCCACGCCAATGTTGCCCTCGACAAGGGATGCCTTAATACAGCAGTGGATTAATCACGGCTGACGACGATGATGATCTAAATTTTGATTTAAAGCTTTTGTGACTGCAGTGATTCATATTCTTGGTTCTTTCGGTAAAGTCACGTTGAAGGGAAACAATAAAATAATAAAATATATATAAAACAATATAAACAATATCTATTTTATTATTTCCCTACAACGTGACTTTATCGAAAGAACCAATAAGACGATGATTATCGTGAATAATGCCGCTGCAATTATTTGAACCGTGCCGAGTTAATATCGAGGTCCTCACGGCCCATAATCATCATCATCCTCCTCCTTCCTCCTACAACCCTCACACCTCCCCGGTCGATAAAGTACCACTTCGTACGGGAAGTCAGCAGTGTGTGTCGCGTATTGACGGCGGAACTGGGGACGTGAGGACGTGAGCTCTCGGCACGCGCGCAAACACACGCTCGGCACTTGCATCACAGGCTACGCTCGATGTTGGCTCATTAGCGTTCTCCCTCCCTCTCTCCTGGCGTCTCTCGCCTCGAGGCTCGGGGGGGTGATTGTTCGGGAAGGAGGGTTTGAACCAGTGCGAACGAGCTGCGGTCGGCTTGCGCGTGCCTGTGCGTGAGTGCGAGGGCGGGGTAGTGTTTTACAATAATGCTGCTCACCTCGTCCCGAGCGGCTCCTCCCTCCCCTCCCTCCCCTCCCTATCCCCTCCGTCCTCTCCACATCCCCTCCTTCCCCATCCCCTCCTTCACTTTCATCCGCCCACACACGTATCCCCCCCCCCCCCTCCGTCTGTGTTCCTTCTTTACATCCGTCCGTTCTCCCTATATCCATGATTCCATTTCCTTCCATCACTCCTTCATCTTCTCCATTCACTCACGCACGCTTTCCCAACGTACTCCCTCCTTGAACTCTCCCCACCTTCCCACTCCCTACCTCCTCTGCACTCCCTATTCTTCCTCTAACTCATCCCAACTCACCACCCCCCCCCCTCCGTCTATTCATTGGTCACAGGAAAATTCAGATGATAATTACAATCCATATAAACGCCCAAGTCTCATCGACATCATCATTGTCAGCCATTGGCAATCCACCGCCCCCCCCATCTCTTCCAAGACGCCGGGACTACTCCACTTAAACATCAGAGCCGCTACTGCTCATCCGAATATTCGGCTACTACCCATGAGGGCGGTGGCCCCCGTTGGAAGGGTCGCCTGGGGCACCCTCCCTGTCCTTGTTACGACACGAGCTCCTTGTACTAATAGCACCTTAGCCCTCCCTCTGTATCCCCCTCGTCGCGAGGCGCCAGGGTGGCGAGATGTTAACTACCTCGCCTGGTATACAGGAGGTCGTGGATTCGATCCCGACCCTGGTGCCTGAATATTTGGAGTTTGCGTGTTTCTGTCTCCCCGTGGTCGCGTTGATTTCTCTCCAGGCCCTCCGGATCCCCCCGCCCCCCCCCCCACATTTAGAATGAACGTGCATTCAGAGAACACATTTGACTGCTTGAAATTTCCACGTGATAAGCCGCTTTGTTGAGCTATAATTTGTGGCCCGGTCGCTTCTGAAAAAGAGCTAAACAGCTCAAAGGGCCTTACCTTATAAAATGAAAATCGTTCAGTATACAGCACGAGTGGCCACTAACACCGCGATGTAAACGCTTGGATCGTTGGGTCTTCAGAGCAGTAAGGCGCAGGGTTCACAAGGGATCACGGGCGTCTACAGGTGATTGCGATTGACTGTGGTGTCAGCCAATCAAACACGAGTACGAGATAGAACGCGAACCAACTATCCAACGAACTGAGAGTACTCGCTTCACTAACCCTGACCAGACGAATCAACCAAACACTTTATCGACCTTTACTACAGCATAGATATCGCGCGCACTACCCCTACAACTAATCAACGAGCGAACAAGCCGCTCGTATAAGCTGTGACCTTCGCCCGAACCAACTCTCCGTTCAATCACAGGGACCGTATTAGCGCTCCTCCTAACCCTAACCAACTAGACGACCAGCCACGAGTAGCAGCCCTCTCACTCACCACACCCTGCACCAAATCCGTTCAATACTTCTCGTGTCAACAGATTGGCGCTGTGTCCTGGGGGGGAGGGAGCGTGGTCAGTGACGCGCCCCGCGCACTCTGCCCCCTACAGAGGCGTGACCTCTAGCCGAGAGGGAGACAGACAGATGTTTTCACTTCCCGTGGCTCCTCTCTTTTCCCATGGCACCTCTTAATCCACTGTGGCTCCTTGCTCTCTCCCCGTGGCTCTTCTCTTTTCCAGTGATTCATCTCTCTCCAAGTGATCTATCTCGTTTCCTGTAACTCGTCTCTGTTCTCCGTGAGTCGTCTCTCCCAGTGGCTCATCTATCTCCCCGTGGCTCCTCTCTCTCTCCCCGTGGCTCCTCTCTCTCACCTGTGACTCATCTCTCCCCGTGGCTCCTATCACTCCCTGGGTCTCCTCTCTCTCCCTGTCTCATCTCTCCCCGTGGCTCCTATCACTCCCTGCGTCTCCTCTCTCCCCCCCCCCCCCCCCCCCCCCCCCCCCCCCGTGGCTCCTCTCCTCTCACCCCGCACAGAGAGCCGCTTCCTCCTCTCGCTGCTCGACCGCGGCTCCCCACACCCCCGACGCGCTGAGCGACGGTCGACATGGCATCTGCGCCTGCGGAGATCGTCGTGGTGGGCTCATGCATGACGGATCTGGTGAGGTGCGTAAAGCCCCTTGCGTGGCGACGAGCCGCGTATATTCCCTGTGCGTTTGTTTTGGTTCCTCGCTTATTATGACGAGCAGTGTCATACATCGCGAGTGCTTTGTTTTCCCATCATGCGTGATTTGCGATGAGCAGTTTTGTGTCCTTCACTTTGTGCTGCCCAACGTGATGAGCTGTGTGTTGCATTTGTGACCGCCATGAGATGTTTTTTTTGCGTTCTGTGCGATAGGCTGCGTTATGATGCCCCTGCACTCTGTGTTCCACGTTGCGATTGTGATTAGATGCGTGTAGTGCCCTGCGCTTTGTAATATGTTCTGATGAGGTGTGAAATATATAAAAAAGGCTGCCTCTTCCTTATCTCTAGATCAGTTTTCCTTAAGCTGGGGTGCACCCTGCACCCCCTGGGGGTGCGAGATGCTCTTTCTGGGGGTGCGAGACATGCCAGATTCTTTTTAGAAGGTAAATAATCGAAAAGAGAAATTAAGCACGCGCACGTTAGACCTAACTACTTTGTTTCATCAAACCGAGGTATGTATTAACATTATTATTTTTTCACGGTTGAGAACCAAAGGGGGTGCAGGCTGCAGTGAAAGGTTTACAAACCACTGCTCGAGAGATTGACCGTGTTCACGGTGAGACGGACTTTGATTTACTTATCGTTTTAACCGATGACCCTGCACGACATCACACGACAAGATGTTTTTATTTTACTGGTAGGAACGAAGTTGTAAACTGAGTGTACCAGCCTGCAGTAGATTAATGTGTCCGTCCGTCCGTCCATCCGTCCGTCCGTCCCCTTTCAAAAGCCCCATACTACCGTATACCGGGAAACAATTCCTCATTTTAAAATGCAATTGTTGTCATTTTTCGGCCCAGCCCGTAAACGATTTTATGATACATTGCTCCAAAATGAGCAGATTTCAGTCAAAAAGGATTTCACCATTCCATTCCTCTACAGAGGTTAATTTGTCCGAAGAACCCTCAACGATTTTGAGGGCAAAAAGGTGGGAAGACGCTCTCAGTTTGCACAATTTTACGTAACAATGTCGTAAAATTGCGCAAAATTCCAATGTTCCTACCAGCCCACCCTGCAGGGACCTGTTTTTGAAAACTAACGAGCGACAACTCAACACGTTCCTCAATGACATGTGCTATGAAGAAGGGCCATTGCCCGAATCGCCACCTGTTATATATCTTTTACATAAAAGGCCACAATGTCATTGACAATTGTGTTGAGTTTTTTTGGTCTTTCGTGTCAGTGCTGTGCGTTGAGGAGCTGTGTTATGCCCTGTGCCTTACGCGCGATGAGCTGGGCACTAAGCTTTGCTGGTCGCTTTGTGATTGGCCTGGCCGGGTGCGGTGGATGTGGCTGCCTGTGAACTGGTGCTTTTGGGGGCAAGGGTTGGTGGATCACCGAGAGATTTGTCTTGAACTTCCGAACCAGATAAGCCACGAGATGGCCAGCACAGTTGCAGTACAGCGAGTGGGTTTATGAGCCAATTTTACACGAGTCTTTGTGTCACCCTCTTAATTGTATGGATTTATTTTAATCCACATGAAAATTGGCTCAACATTCCATTGTGGCAGGACCCTCCAGAAAAGAAAAAAAACAGTATTGAGACTCAATAAGGCCTCAATGGATACATAAATAACACTGTAAATGTGATTGAAGATTATTGACCAAACATCTGTAATCGCATTTTATTGTTTCCCTTCTACGTGACTTTACCGAAAGAACCAAGAATATGAATCCCTGCAGTCACGAAAGCTTTAAATCAAAATCTGTAATCACAGTTTCGTGGTTCCTTGTGTTGCGTTCTATATTGATGCCCTTTGTCGAGACCTTCGTCATAACCCCACTTGTTGACATCGTAATCATCTATGGACACCCTGTGCCCTTCTGCTTTGAACACCCAACGGTCCCTTGCAAACCCCACGCCCCCTTCTGCCGCCCCTGCCCAGCTACGCCCCGCGTCTGCCGCGGGTCGGGGAGACGGTTCACGGGCACCGCTTCGCCGTGGGGTTCGGGGGCAAGGGCGCCAACCAGTGCGTGCAGGCCGCACGGCTCGGCGCCAGCACGGCCATGGTGGCCAAGGTACAGGGCCACACGCCCGCGAGGTCACCAACGGTTCACTCTGTTCTGCCAATGCGGCGCTGCGGTGGCGAGATGTTAACTACCTCGCCTGGTGTGCAGGAGGTCGCGGGTTTGATCCCGACCCCTGACGCCTGCTGCTGTATATTTGGAGTTTGAGTGTCTCTCTCTCTCTCCCCGTGGTGGATTGCGTGGATTTTTCTCCGGGTTCTCCAGTTTTTCCCTCCACATTTAGAATCAACATCACCACGCGTTTCAAGTATTTGGCTGCTGTACACTTACACACGATTAGACACTTCGTAAGAGCTATCATTTGTTGCCAGGTCGCTTCTGAAAAGGAGCTACATAGCTCAGTGGACCTTACCTTGCAAAATAAAAATTGTTTGGTGGTTTAGTTTAGAAATAAAATAAAATAAATCACGACGTTTCGAACGCAACACAAGCGTTCGTCTTCAGGTGAAAATCGTGATGGCTGCGATGTCTGCTGCGAGCAGCAGGCGATTTTCACCTGAAGAGGGACGCTTGTGTTGTGTTCGAAACGTCGTGATTTATTTCATTTTATTTCTACCTACGTGGCTTTGCCGAAAGAACCAAACAGTATGGATTCGTGCAGTCACGAAAGCTTCAAATCAAGATTGGTTTAGTTTAGATTAGGTGAATGCGAGCGCGGCCCCCGGTCGTGCCACGTGTTGAGCCTCTCTTCTCTCTCTGGAGCTGCTGCCACACAGGAAGCGATGAATCCCACCTGGTTACCACCTGGAGTCACACCACCCGTTCCACCGCAGACGAAACCAAGACGTGTTTCTCAAGTCAGCGCTCGGTCTGTTATCGAAACAGCGTTGTGCACTGCGCTACCCGCAATGAAGTTCAACGCAATAGGCAGCGCCACTTCTGGGCACAAATCGATTGCTGCCACCAGACCACAGAAGGCTAATTCCCGGGACAGGTGGCGACCGTGGTGCCACTGTTGTTGCCTCCCGTCTCTTTCATCTCGGCTGTCGTGTTGGCCCCCGGGACAAGGCGGCTTGGGGTGGCCTTCATCCAGCAGTGGATTGACCATGGCAGATGATGATGATGATGTAGAATTCGTAGTGGCTGCAAGGTTCACATCAACTATTGACATTTGTCGTAATAATAATAATAATAACGAAGCATTGATTTGTTGAATGAAGCCGATTCTTTGGCCCACGATACACACATCGAAGTGTGTGTGTGTGTGTGATGCTCAATTATTATCAAATTGTACATAATAGATGTGAATGCTGCAGTATGGTCGTCATCCCGCCGTCGATTGACAAAAGGCCGCCGACTAAAGCTAAACATACAAGCCCTGTAGCCTTCTCCCTGTTACATAAACTTGAAATGTAAATATTAAAACTGTACCTTGCTCTGTCACGTTCCAATATGCCTGCAAAATGTTACTTGCGCAACGCGCATTTGCCAAGAGCGGTTGCGGAGCGTGGTTGCCAAGGGCCCTGGTGCAAAGACTTAAAAGGGGCCCCCTGTTCAACTTCCCCTCCCTCCCCCCACTCCCCACTCTGCGTAGCCCCGGCACCAACAAGGCCCCCCCCCCCCCCGGCCCACGGGGACCCCCGGTGCAACTGCACCGCCTGCACACTCGATAGCTGCGCAGCTGCCCAAGCCAGGAGTCAGGAGCCGAGCCAGCTCACGTTCTCTCTCTCCGCCCACCCACCCCTCTCCTGCCTCGTCCTCTTTTCCACTCCACCGTGCGGTGCGCAGGTCGGAAAGGACACATTCGGAGACAACTACATTCAGAATTTCAAGGATAACGGAGTGAACATAGGTGTGTGAAGATCCGGTGGTGCCATCGCGTGGACGGCGTGGGTTCCAGTGCGAGGAATTAAATGGGGGGAGGGGGGGGGGGCGGTGGGATCCCCCCCCCTACACGACTCCTTCCACACTCTTCGTAGCCACGCCCACTCCGGGCCCACGGCTCCCGGTGCAATTGCACCGCCTTCGCACTCGCCAGCTTGATACTCTTAAGGTCGGACAGGTGACGGATTCATCTTCTTTGGTTCTTTCGGTAAAGTCACGTAGAATGAGAATAAAATAATAAATTGATCAAATAAAATAACACAATAATATTCTCACGACGTTGTGTTGTGGCCGAAACGTCGTGAGAATATAATTGTGTTATTTTATTTGATCAATTTATTATTTTATTCTCATTCTACGTGACTTTACCGAAAGAACCAAAGAAGATGAATCATTGCAGTCACGAAAGCTTTAAATCGAAAAAAAAAGGTGACGGATTGTCGCCGACAATGCAAAGGCCAAGGGTTCTGGCAGCGGGGAGAAAGTGATGTGTTGAGGTGTGGTGGCATCAACGCAATACGTTGTGTTGATCTCTTGGGTGTGTGTGATTGTGTAATCGTGTCTGTGTGATTGCGGGGAGCGGTAGTGCAGCGGTTAGCGCGCTGTGCTATGAACCCGGCGATCCGGGTTCGATTCCCGCTCACGGCCAACACCAGGTGACGATTATCTCGACCGGTCTTGGGCCTCCCCTAGATCGACTCATCCTCAAATGAGTACCTGGTGCGGTGTTGAACATCGTCACTGGGGAGACGAAGGCGGTCAGGTGTGATGCTGGCCACCCACCCCCTCGTGTGCCGTGCCGGCCTTCATAGGTGCTCGCTAACAGAACTTGCCCTAACACACTCTTTGGTTCTATTCGGTAAAGTCACGTAGGTAAAAAATAAAATAACAAGGCTATATAGGGGATATTTGTCTTTTGTGCACACTGCGCTACGAACCCGGCCAACCGAGTTTGATTCCTGCTCATGGCTAGGTATCAATATCGAAGACAAATATCTGAATCGGTGCTGGGCCTCCTCTATGTCGACTCAGCTATCAATGACTACCTGGTGCGGTTTATAAACACCACCATTTAAATGGCAAAGACGGTCGGGCGTGGTGCTGGCCACCCAGCCCCTCGTGTGCCGTGTCTGCATTCTTAGTTACGCGTGTATAGCACTTGAAACAAAAGCCTGTTGAAGGCTATATGGGGGATATTTGCCTTTGTGTGTAGAGTGATGGCACAGTTGTTTGCTTTCTGCCCTACATACATACCCGAGGTTCAATTCCCCATGCGTGGCTATGCTATCTGAAGGCTTTGTTAACTTTTGGGCCTCCCCTAGGTCGACTCGGCCTTAAATAAGTACTTGTTAAACATCGGAGGCAGGCGGTCGACTGTGCGTGGTGCCATTGGACACGCCAGCCCCTCGTGTGCACCCTGCCAACCTTAACCCTCTCCCGTCGTTCCAAGACGTCTGCGAGTGGCAGGGTGGGTGTCCCGGTCACACCGCTGAATTTCAGAACACGCAAGCGGTTCAGCGTCAGTTTTATTTCGACTCGTAGTATCGCCGTCGTTTTTAAAGACATTGTACTCACCACTGATAACCATAGCAACACGACCACACCCTGTAATAGCTGGCGCCAAACCGTGCCACTCGCGCTCCTGGCACGGCCTTGTGGGAGCCTCGGTATGTCTATCCGACCTGAAGACGTACCGATAAAGTTATTTTCTTTTCTTTCTAATCCGTTCCGATGACGTACGCACGTACCGTAATCATTCCCGATGACGTACGTGTACACGTACACGTACGTCACAGGCGCCCGCCAACAGCACCGGCTCGCTGTGTCCCTCTGCGTGGCTTCGCCTTGCCGAGCGGGAGGCTGCGTGTCTCTTCCTGTGCGCGGTGCGAGCACGCAGATCACGTGGGGCAAGTTTCCGAGGCGGCCACTGGCGTGGCCCCCATCACGGTGGACGATGAAGGTGAGGTGCGCCCGCGTCTCGGCAAGTGCCCCGCAGGCTGCTTCCCAGATTTATAGATATAAAACAAAAGAAGTGCCGGTGTTTTGTGTCGACCGGCAGATGTTGGGTGAATCGCCGCGACGTGATTCGCTGTTTCCGTTGCGATGCGTTTTAGAGCTTTTGGGCCCCCGAATAGGACGAGGTTGAAAAGTCGACAAAAAAGTCGCGCAAACCTGCGGCTTCCCGGAGCCGCACGTGGTTCTTCAAGAACTGCTTGGTGACGTTATTTGTTAAGGACCACCGGTCTCGTATTCCCATCCATTGGCTCTTCTTGTTAGTTTGGTTGCCGACCCCTGGTTTGCATCAGAGGTGGTCGGGCAAGTGCTCAAGACCGGTTGGCCAATCCCGACGGGAACGCCGGAGTTAATTCACGCGAAAGCTCAACGTGCCGGCACGTTGAGCTTTCGCGTTATTTCGGGGGTGGCAGCCGAAGGAGGGGAAGGCGTCCAAGGAGGCGACACTCGGCCAAGGAGACAGAGCCATGAGATCGCCGCGCTTGCAGGTGCTCGTCGCTCTCCGTCGCATCGGCAGAACCGTGCCGGACGGCGACGGGAGACTCGAATGCCCCAGCAGTGGATTGATCATGGCAGACGATGGTTAAAAAAAAACGAAGTCAAAAGTCGCCAAGGGGTTCCATGAAGTCTATTGAGGTAGAGTAGCACCTGCCACCCCTGCCCCTCTCCCCGCCCCCTTGTTCAAATGTCCACGTGCCCCCTCCCCCCCCCCCCCCCCCACGGCCGTCATTGCTGGGCAACATACGGTGCATTAATTTGCGTAATCAGATTTAGAAACCCAAATTACCGGACCAATTTGTAACTTAGATGCACGTTACCAGTTGGATTCCAATTACAAATTACAGCTGTAATGAAATGACACATTCTAATTGCACGTGTAACTTGAACTTCGTTCGCGCCGTACGTCGCCAACCGTGGCAGCCGGAGGTGCGGGATACTCAGCTACCGATCGCAAACCGCAATTTGTAACGGGGGCCAACATATTTGGAATTGCAAGTAAACGGTCGGGTGGGGTGTGGGGGGGGGGGGGATACACCGCCCGTCTTTGCGTCACGTGGCAGGGAGGAACGCGATCGTCATCGTGCCCGGAGCGAACCTGTTCCTGGGCCCCGAGGACGTGGCGCTCGCGCGGGCGGCCATCTCGGGCGCTCGCGTCGTGTTGGCACAGCTCGAGGTGCGGCCCGAGACCACGGCGCGGGCACTGCGCCTCGCCCGCCGGCACGGGGGTGAGCGGCGCCCGCCACCTTGCGCAACCTCGCCGGCAACTCGCCACACGGACGCACACCTCGCCACAACTCACGGCACAGGCCGGCACCTCACGACAGCTCTCCACGCGGACCCACAACCACGCCGCAACTCATCACGCACACCTGGAAAGGTGTCCGAGGTTCCTCACCAAACGTAATAATGGAATTACATATTTAAATGGCGTGCACTTTAGATGCTGCCCGTGTCTACCGAGTCACTGCACAACCCTACACCGCCCCGTGCATCATCGCGCATTCCTGCTCCTCCCTGTAACACACGTCCCGTTTTGATGGGTGAGGTTGGCGATGATGACCACCACCAACACCACAATTATTATTACCCTCACTACCATTAGCACTACCGCCGTCATTCTAAGCACCATTACCAACGCCACGAAATACAAACATCACTTATATAGCCTCAACAGACTATTGGGGCAAGTGCTGTTCATTAGCACCTATGTTGGCCAGCACGACTCACGAGAGGGTGGGTGGTTGGCACCACATCCGGCCACCTTACCTCCCCAGTGCTAATGTTTACACACTGCACAAGGTACTCGGTTGAGGCTGAGTGGACCTAGGAGAGGCCCAAGACCAGTTCGGATATTGGTCACGGGTGTTGATGGCCGTGAACGGAAACCGAACCTTGTTCGTAGCACAGCGCCCCGACCTCTGTCACACAGCCACCATGCTCCAGGTGTGTGGGACAATCACACACGCACGGTGCCCGCTATTGACCGGCGGAGTCGCGCGTGTGGCTGGGTGGGGCTGACGATGTTGCAATGCGCTGGACCGTCCCACTGTGACGTCACTCGGCTGTTCCGCCCCGCCGCTGCTGTCCGTGGTGCCGGCAGTGAGGACCATCCTGAACCCCGCGCCCGCCGTGCCGGACCTGGACCCTGAGCTCTACGAGCTCTCTGATATCTTCTGTCCAAACGAGACCGAGGTTTGTGACCACCACCCCCCCCACCCCCCCACACACCCAACCCTTAAATAAGCATTGAGGCATTGCTGCTCATCTACCGTTTACACCCCTGAGCCGGCGGTGGAAATTTCACATTTGCATTGGTGGCGGAGAGTCACTCCGTAGGAGAACTGCTGCTGCTGCTCACTTCCCCACAATGACCCCGGAGGAATGATGGGACAAGTCCACCTCCAACCGGGATTTGAACTCTCCGAAACTATGGCTGAGCCACCTGCTCATTGGCGTGGGAATACACGGGGTAGCAAGGGACAGTGCCCCCCCCCCCAAACGTGTTTACAGGAATGAGCCACCGCTTATCTGCTTATGTATTTAATACCACTTGTTTATATTCCGGTTGCTGAGTACAAGCCAGAAGGCCTGCGGCCGGCGCTTGGGGTCACTAATGAAATGACAAGACACGTGTCTTGAATTGGGCAAGGTTACGTACATTGTATGTATGATGAACTTCTTTCGCACCGTACATAGCCAACCGTGCTAATCAAGAGGTGTTGGGGAATATAGGAACTGGGGAATTTATACAATTGGAGTGGTCAATTCACTGCTGAATGTAGGGCTCCCCAGTTCACCGCAACGGCTCACAATTATAAAAAAAAAAATACCGGGAAATCTCTTCATTGGGCCGGTGTGTGAGTGTGTGGGGTGGGGGGACAGGCGAGGCTGCGTTGGCTGGGGCATGTAGCCCGCATGCTCAGGCACCGCATGCCCAAACTGCTTTTGTTTGGCCTGATATAGGGGGATAAATGGACACGGCATGGGCTAGAGAGGAATGGACTAATGCCGTACAGAAGGATGTGTAGCTGAGTGAACTTGCCGATGACCGGTATCAGCGGTGTCAAAATCGGCCTCTGGGAAGGAGGCTCCTGAAGGACGCTACTGGCCAGTTGGAGGCAGTCGCCCTCCAACAACAGCAGAGCGTAAAAGAGCGACACTCACAACAACGACCGAAGCGCCGGGTGGATAAATGCAAGTTGGCACAGTGGGGAGCACAGGTGGTGTATCTTCCATTCATCTCAAGTTAGTCAACCCATGGCATCTGGGTGTCCTGTGACCTCCTGCCAGCAGCGAGCCTTCCACGCTTCACGTGGCCTCAACGTGCACCTACGCTGGCACAAACAACGTGGCGACGTCACCGCCACTTAGTGGCGAACGGCGGCTGTTGCTGCTGCTGTTGTTGGTGGGGGGTGGCAGGCGAAGCTGCTGCTGCTGTTGTTGGTGGGGGGTGGCAGGCAGAGCTGCTGCTGCTGTTGTTGTTGGTGGGGGGTGGCAGGCAGAGCTGCTGCTGTTGTTGTTGGTGGTGGGGGGTGGCAGGCAGAGCTGCTGCTGCTGCTGCTGTTGTTGTTGGTGGGGGGTGGCAGTCAGAGCTGCTGCTGCTGTTGTTGTTGGTGGGGGGTGGCAGGCGAAGCTGCTGCTGCTGTTGTTGTTGGTGGGGGGTGGCAGGCGAAGCTGCTGCTGCTGTTGATGTTGGTGGGGGGTGGCAGGCGAAGCTGCTGCTGTTGTTGTTGGTGGGGGGTGGCAGTCAGAGCTGCTGCTGCTGCTGTTGTTGGTGGGGGGTGGCAGGCAGAGCTGCTGACGGGCGTGGTGGTGAGCGGAGTGGAGGAGGCGGGCCGCGCCGCCACGCTGCTGCTCCAGCGAGGCTGCGGCGCCGTCGTCATCACGCTGGGGCGGCATGGAGCGGTGGTCGCGAGCCAATCCGACCCGGCTCCTCGGCATGTCCCCTCGCCCAGTGTCACCGCAGTGGACACCACGGTGAGCCGGATGCTGCTGCTGCTGCTGCTTGCACGCTCGCGCGCTCACTCTCACCTGTCTTTATCACTGCGACTGGATTTGGAGCGGTGGCGCAGTGGTTAGCGCACTGCGCTGCTGGCACGGCGACCTGACTTCAATTCCCGCACACGATCAACAAGTGGCGAATATTTCAATCGGTCCTGGGCCTTCCCCGAGGTCCCCACAGCCTTAAATGTGTATCAGACTCAGTTGCTGGAAACACCTGCCTTATGTATGGTGCTGATCCGTCCAAGCACTGTGCAGGCTCAAACCTGCTTAGCCCCTGAGATCTGAGGAGATCGGGAGAATTCCAGGTGATTTGGTCAGGGCCGATTTAGATTGTTAATACAGAGAAAATGGCACGCGAATTGTTCGATGCTCCAGAGACCCCCCTGGCGTTAACTGCGACTGACTTTGTTTGACTCTCTCCTTCACATCTCCTTTTCTGCCACCCCATCATCATCATCATCCCCCCTCTCCCATCATCATCGTTACCATCATCATCATCATCATCCCCCTTTTCCCATCGTCATCATCTCCATCATCTCATCATCCCCCTTTTCCCATCGTCATCATCTCCATCATCTCATCATCATCCCCCCTTTCTCCCATCATCATCGTTACCATCATCATCATCCCCCTTCTCCCATCATCATCGTTACCATCATCATCCCCCTTCTCCCATCGTCATCATCTCCATCATCTCATCATCATCCCCCCTTTCTCCCATCATCATCATCATCATCGTCGTCATCACTACCCAGGGAGCCGGAGACAGCTTCGTGGGCTCGCTCGCGTTCTTCCAGGCGCGCCTCCCGGGCCTCCCGCTGGCGGAGGCAGCCCGGCGCGCATGCCAAATCGCGGCCGAGAGCGTGCGCTCGGCCGGCACGCAGAGCAGCTACCCGGGGCGCGACGGCCTCCCCGCCGCGCTCTTCCAGGAGGAGTGACGGAAGCGGGGGAAGCTCTCCCAGGCCGGTCGCTCGCTCAATCAACCGCCCGCCCTGCTCGATCCATCCGCCGCACGCTGAACCGCCGCTTGCTGGCACGAAGGGTGGATTGCGAGGATGGAGACATTGTGCTGAGATTTGAGGAATAAATGTCAAGCGCAAAATGCTTAGTTCTGGTGCCTTTGTGAATGTATCAAGTCTTTTTGTTGACCTTCCCCCGCACCTCCGACGGGCACGGTTGGCTGTGTACGGTGCGATTGAAGTTCAACATGCATACATAGATTAAAAGTGGGGTTGAAAGTGTTTGTGTGGAGTGGGGGAAGGTTTGCCATCACGTAACTCTCCGGACGATGATTCGACGTGAACAACGCTTTAGTAAGACGTTGTGCCACTCACAAGTCACTTCTTACCCATCATCAATGGTCTATCCACTGCTGGATGAATGCCCCTCTAAGCCGCCATCAACTCTACAGATCCTCTCATTGTAACAATCCACGCGGCACCCACACACGAGCTGATTTTATCACTCAATCTCCTCGGAATTTATTGTGGGTGGAATACTAAAAACGGAAGGAGAAGGGCACTAAACTAGCATGAATCATTCTAAATTAAAGAGTAAACAAGAAAAGGTAAATAAACAGAAGAGGTGTTCGACACGAAATGGAAATGTATGCTGAACTTCTTTCGCACCGTACATAGCCAACCGTGCTAATCGGAGGTGCGCACCAGGTACTCATTTGAGGCCGAGTCGACCTACGGCAGCCTCGGGACCGGTTCAGATAATCGTCACTGGGTGTTGGCCATGAGCGGGAATCAAACTCGGGTAGCCGGGTTCGTGGTGCTGCACGCTAACCGCTAACTGGTACCCATGTAGAGAGGTGGGAGAAACGTTGACAAAAAGTAGAGGTGAAATTAAACTCTAGAAGAGAAGCGCAGACGGGAGAGACACGTGCAATGACACTTGTAGACAATATTGTTTACACAAATGTTAGACGAGAAACGGGGGAGCTACAGAGAAGACAGAGATTAGATCAATTCGTTATTTTGTTCATCTTAATTCTCTTTCGGAGGATATGATGTCTAGCTATTTGACGCGAATCCTCTTGAGCTACTTGGGGCGCTTTGCTTTAGCTTAATTTACTCACGATATAGGGCTACCATTGATCCTCTTGAACCCGTATGCCTGTCACACCCCCATGCCCCCCCCCCCCCCCTGCACGCCTCCGCTCTGTGCCCCCACATGGCCGAGTGACCCCCGTGCCCTTGCGTAAGCCAGGCCGACAGGATCCAGAGGCCGTGCCCATGGTGGTGTTGGCTGGGAGTTACTCAGCTCTCGGGGATTGCGCAAAAGTCCCGAGGAAAAGCTCCAGACGTCACTCCACCCCTCCCCCTGTGCCCCCTCCCCCCCCCCCCCCCCCCCGGGGGAGGAGGCGTAGACGTCTGAATATTAGCACGGTTGGCTAGGTACGGTGCAAAAGAAGTTCAGCATACAGTACGTACCTCACCTGTGCGCTCACTTGCCCGTAGCGGAAGGCGGTGATTCATGTACAGACGCCGTGAGCACAGCCCCACGGTTGGCCAATTGCAAAACAGTGAACCAAGTTTGGAAGAAGAAGAAAAGAAATTACCTCCATAGTCCACGTGTAGTTTTATGTAAACGCGTTACATCATAGTAAAGGGATGGTGGCCGGTGGTCGAGACTAACGATGGAGTGCAAGGCCGTAATTATAATATTCTAATATGCTCAAAATTTCCACCCCCAATATATTGCTATAAAAACATAATTGCTATGCTATGTAAATAAAAATTATTTTCTACACCTTGGCCACAATATCTGGACTAGTCTTCATATAAATCAATGCATAGATTTCTGTTTATATGATTGTGGTTATTGTTGTACTTTATTAATCCATAATCTCTGCCATTACGTACAATGAAACAAGAAATGGTAAAAAAGTAAAAACAGAGCAATGTAATACAAGAACCTATTAGACATTGTAAAAATAATAATAAAAAGTCCATCCCATGTGTTAGTGAATTCTGTAATATTTCAGGCAGGAAAATGAGTTTTAAAATTTAGATATTTTTCTGGGTTGTGACCCCCAGGCACCCTGGAAGATTTGGTCCCCCCCAATGTTGACTCCATGGCTACGGCCTTGATGGAGTGCCAGTCGAAGGAGGAGCAACAGGTCCGCGAGAGACGGAGCTAGACGCATCGCTGTTATCTCGGGACGGTGCGATGTTAGCAACGGTTTAGAGGCCTTAATCCAGCAGTGGATATTAGATCGTGCGCTGAGCGTGACAAATTACAGAGGCAACCTTGAACTGCATCACACCTTAAGGCAATCGTGTCTGTCAAAACGGAGACAATTTCTGCTGTTGCCTTGAGCTCTGTGGGCGTGGAGAAGAGGGAGGGTTGTCACGTGCAGGGAGACTGAATTTCTCTGCGCGCGTGTTTTTTCATCTCAAATGATTCACCTCCCCATCCTGTCCGCGATGTCTCCGCCGTTTCCGCCCGATCACTTGCAACTAGGGCGTGATTTTGTAGCACGCGGCGATTTAATTCGAGCTGATCGCGCAGCAATGCACTTACTTAGGGGCCGTCCATAAATGACGCCACGCGATTTTGGATGATTTTTGACCTCCCCCCCCCCCTCGTCACACGGCGTCACAAAAAGTCAGATCCCCCCTCAAATATGACGTCACAAAGCTCTGCCCCCCCCCCCCCCAAACAATAACACATGCTTCAAATCATTTTAAACTATTGTCATTGTAGTGCGTATTTAATGTGGCGCTGCACTCTGATGTTGTAGGAGAAAGCGTATTAAAAAGTCTATTTAATTAAGGAGAACGTGTTGTCTATATTTATGTAAAGTTGCGCATTTTTATGTGACGTCACATACATTTCTCAACCCCCCCCCCCTTCGTCACACACCGTCACAAATGTCTGACCCCCCACCCGGTGCGTGACGTCATTTATGGACGGCCCCCTATTTCGGAAATATAAGCGCGGCGTTGTGGATGGTAATAATAAATGAATGGATTGGGAGTGGTGGGCGCAGCGCTATGAACTGTTCCAAATGAGGTTGATTCTCGTTCACGGTCAACATCCGTGGCAATTTATATCTGAACCGGTCATGCCGCCACCACCTCCACCACCAACCCCTCGCCACATTCATTTCACCAATCAGCACAGACCACTCACGTGATGGATAACGGTCAAACAAATAACCCCAATGGATCAATGTTGTGATGAACCAGGGCGTGGTACATTAAACGAACATTGCTGACTTTCGTAACGCCAGGTGGCCGCGAGATGGTTGTAGAGACGTCGATTCCTAAATCTATTTGTGTGGAGCTTTGAGTTGTAGCGTCCAAAAATGCTCATGAATGCAATTTTGTCAAGCATCCTGTTGAAGGACGACCGCCCTGAGCACGTGTCTTGAGACTCTGTGAAGCTTTTCTGGATAAAGAGCATTACGCTGTATTATTACTACTACTATAGGGAAAAGTCATTCACTGACATTGTGGTATTGAAGTTGTTCGTACACCACCTAAATGTGGCAAAACGATACTATTAACAATGTCTTTTCAAGTCCATTATAAAGAAAGTGAATTTTGTTTAACTAGGTGAGAACTCAGGAGACGATGATTAGTCTAATTTGAAAGAGTGATCTGGGGCATGAGTCTACTAGTCGGGGGCGGTGATTGCTGCTATGCATAATCCACCTGGAGTAATTTGCGGTGTCATTTTTCAAATTTGGAAAATTAGGACCCCGACGCCGGCACAGACCAGGCCTACTCTTGCGAATGACGTCAACGGATCTTTAGCGTCCTACGTGAAGCAAACGGGCGCCTAGTACTCTACTGTGACCATTACATCCGCAGTAATAATCGGGGCGGCCGCGCGATTCGAATCTGCCACAAGTGGCGAACGCGCTATTGCTCGGACCATGTCAGGGCGCCACGGTGGCGAGATGTTAACTACCTTGTCTGATATACAGGAGGTCGTGGATTCGATCCCGACCCTGACGCCTGCTGCTGTATTTTTGGAGTTTGCGTGTTTTCCCCGTGGTCGCATCCACATTTAAAAAAACATGCGTTTAGAATATTTGGCTGCTACACATTTCCACATAAGCCACTTCGTTGAGCTATCATTTGTGGCCAAGTAGCTTCTGAAAAAGAGCTATATAGCTCAATGGACCTCACCTGCTAAAATAAAAAAAAAGTTTTGTTTTACTTAAATTTACGTTATAACCATTTCGCTGTTAAAATCCACACGATTGTGTTCAATCGCCCGCGACTAACTCACCATGAATGCCCCCGCCCCGCCTCGTCACATCTCAGAAGCTAGGCAGATTTGAGCCTGGTAACGTTTGGACGGGCGATCACCATGCATCACTGTGGCTGTTATATACTGCGAGACGACGCTGTGGGTAGTGCAGCAAAATCCATTGTCGTATTTACGTCGTTTCGCAAATACGTCGTCACCGAGGGCTTCCCAGTCATTCGGCATATTCTTGATTCTTTCGGTAAAGTCACGTAGAAGGGAAACAATAAAATAATACAAATATAAAACATATTTGTATTTTATTATGTATTTATTTTATTATTATTTCATTGTTTCCCTTCTACGTGACTTTACCGAAATAATCAAGAATATGAATCCCTGCAGTCACGAAAGCTTTAAAAAAATTTTTAGCAGTTTTAAGTTAAATTTGAAAACTTGCTTTTACTTAAGATTCTTTAATAGTGTTGTTTTTTTTAATATGCCTTCGATAGTAATTCATTATAATTCAATTTTGTTTCGTATGGAATTTGCTTTTATTCTTATTGTGATTTAGTCTATTAACAATGTTTTTTTTTAAATCTGTACAGCACTTTGAATGGCACCCTTTGCACGAAATCATGCTATAGAAATACAGACTTGAGACTTGATTGACTTTATTTGAATCGCCTCAACTCCACGCTTGCACGTCCGCTGACGGCATCATCCGCCCTTTCTCGGACCTGTCGCCCCAGCCTTCGCCTCCACCCATCCTGTGAATTGCTTTGATTTACGTCGTTTTGATATTCGTCACCACCCTTTTTAGGAACGCCTACAGCGACGTAAACCAGGGTATTACCGTGCTGTCCTGCTATGCCCCCCAACCCACCTCCAACAAACCCG